CATAATAAATGATTTTTATTGCTTAATTTCTTTTTTTACAATCTAATCGTCATACCTATGGTGGTTATTTTCTACAGAATAGACGCATTTTTTCTCTCAAGCTGTTGTAGTAGTTTAGTGCTGTTGGACTGGGTCGTAGAAAAATTTTTTCAAGACCCATTTTAAGCTTCCGACAATAACTTGAGGTTAAGGCCTGGATTTAACAATTTATTTCAATATACAAGTTTTTCTTATCGCTTTTTATGCCCCCGTTATCTTTTGTCTCTGATAAAATATTTTCTTTTGTCCATCATAATGGTAAAATAACGCATATATTTCCTATATTATATCCACCAGAACTAATTAGTTATTTATACTGTACGAGACCTATTTAAAACTTGCACAATTGAGCATACTACACTGTTTTACTTTAGTTGGCTATTAAATTCTCACATTAACTACAATCAGGTCTTTGATTGCAGTAGAACTTAATTATTCATATAGATTTGCAAGATCGGCTTTTTATTAACGGCTTTTCTCTGTTATTTAGGTTAAAGGATTTGGATCATCAGTCCGCGTCATCCATGTAGCGCCCTATCATGAAGCCTCATATTTCCCTGCCGATATATTTGATCGTAACTTAGATCTCATGCGCTCATGGGAATGGGTTTTTGCCTCAACTCCTACATTTCGACTTCGCTTAAAAGACTTTCTTGTCAGTCATGCAAATGAAGTATGTGATGGGCTGATCGTTATCTGTGAACGAGGTGAATTCAAGCGTCTGGAAATCGAGTCTTCATCAGAAGCTGGCACAGAGGCTTCGTTAGAGACCTGGCTCGCCTCGTTATCTGAGGCACTCTGTAAAAGTCCCTGCCAATTGGATGCGTGGGTTCATCCACTTGATCAATTCATCAGAGCTAGTTCGGCTCCACTTTCCAACCTACAGATGGCTATTATTGCCAGCTTGAAGGCAATTTCTGCCAAATTTTAAAGGCTTTTATTCTTACTACACTTTCAGACACTTAGGTATATTTAATTTCTAGTTTTTTTCTATTTATTTCTCAGCCCAACAAATAATCAGTTTTCGGATGTCATAAGGGATTTAATAAGTATGCCTGCTATACCTAAATCTTGACTTATTTCTTTTTTAATTTGAGTCTATTGCAGCACTGCTCCTCTTTTATCTTTGACATACTTTTTATAATTTATCTTTTTGCTTCGATTTAAGAAAGGAAGCAATAGTGACGACTTAAATACTCTTTTTTTAATGTTTCTAACCATTGCAACATTTTAACATTCACATAAAAACTGGTTTTCTAGGAAGATGAAGGTTTAAAACTGGAGAAGCAATTACTAAAAGAAATTATGGCGAAATTAAAGGAAGACCAGCTTATTTTTGACGC